AAAATTGTTTATGTACCTGAAACTAAATTTGCGCATGTTTTTTTATCCCTTCAGGAACTTGTTTTTGATGAGTCCTTGTTTTTTAATTAAAAGGAAACTCTCTTTTAAAGAAATAATACCAAGCAAGAGAAACGTTTTGGTATAAAGCTTTTTGACTGTTATTGCAGAAGGGGTCTAGTTTTTTGGAACTTTTGTGTACACTGGCGTAAACTTTGAGAATACCATGAAGTTTTTGGGTATCTCTGGTGTGTGGTTCGAACAATGGGGGAACCAATCTGGAACCTTACTCATGATTTTTTGCGGTAAAATTTGACAACGTTTGGCACATGCGTGGTAATTTAAACATATGCCAAGGTTCGACGCTCCCCGCAGAGGTGGGTAAAGCTTTTGCTCCCCAAGACATCATGGCATTTCGGGGGGCATACAAACGTGATGTCACATTGTTGACATCATTTTCAAAAAGAAACAAATTACCCAGTGGCAGGGACAACAGAGAGACCAATAAACCCATTCAAAGCCTGCACGTCAGAACTACAACCCAATATGCGTTTGTGGACAAAGGGGACATCAATTGGGTTGCAGATGTGACGCAAGAGTTATAAGTGGTAAATATAAAATTTTTTTTTCCATCTTGTTAAACTCTATGCAAATGTTTATAACAATACAAGTTGAAGACCAACAAAACACCAAAATATGGGAAATTTTGCCTGTCAAAAACAGACAAAAAATTGCAAAGCCCAAAGGGAGCAACTCCTGCAAAACCACGCCCACAACTCATCTCTTTGAGCCTGGTGACCTCCCCATACAATGCCTCCTACTATCCCAAAAAAATGCTCAGAAGAGGTGTTATGTATGTATGCATACCACAAAACGCCCAAAACATGCAGAACACTCGTTTTAAGTGTGAGGAGTGTAAATGCCCCTCTGCATATACCCATGTTCAAAGATTTCCCAAAAAAACTGCAGCAGTTTCAGGAACGTGTTTAGGACTGACATATGTATATATATTATGGAACAATAGAAATAAACTTGTTTTGTATTGTTTTTTTTTTAAACAAAGTTACAGGGGGCCCCGCTTTACGGTGTTTCGCTTTGGGCGTTCCGCTAATAGGGACATTTCAAATTTGCCCAAAAACCCCAAAAGGCCCCCCCCCACCTTCTTTCTAATAGGGTCACAGGGCCCACCGAGTTTGTTTACATCTCCCGGGGCAAAATCTCCTTATTTTTCGGAAACTTCCCAAAATTTAAAGTGTTTTAAAGTTTTTTTTAAATTTTTATAGTTTGTACGAAATTAAACTTGGTACACCTGTACCAAATAAACTTACACACTGTGCTGGCATGTAGGTACACTTAAAATCACGAGAGTCTCTCTACTCTTGATGCAAAATAATAAAAAAAAAATAATAAAAATAATAAAAATATTTAATAATAATAAATAATAATCCTTTTTGGGGCGCATTAATGCGCTTTTACGTTAAAAAAGACATTTCCCCCTTTAAATCTTCATGATTTTTTTTCAAAATTATATAAGAAACACTTTATGTAACCACAAACAGATACATGACCCACAGTATAAAATTTATACAAATATATACAGATTTTTACCAAACGGTTTGTAGAAGTGTCGGGAAAAAGTTTTCTCTAGCCCGTCACCTGTTTCTAGGGATAACTGTAGAAAAATATTCCCTTTCGTATCCTTTACTTTTTAGCTATAATTTTGTAAACTTGTACACAGTGTAAAGTTTTTGTTTCGTGATTTAATTATTTAAATAATAAAAAAAATATTTTAAGGGAAAAGTTTCACAAACTCTTACAAAAAGACATAATGAACCAAAATGGACACGATTAAACCCTATTTCGCCTGACCGAGTGATCGCCACAACCTGTTTCAGTTTGTTTACGCTTCTGGCTCGGTTTTCATTAAATGTTTTTTTATTACTTAATATACAATTTTCATTAACCATCCGGATATTTTTTTTCAAAATTAAAAATAAACACGAACATAAAAAAAATACATAACATATGTGTGAGAAAACCAGGGTAACCCAAAAAATCAGAGTGACTTACTTTCCCTTCCTTCACCAGAGCACTTTCTTCTCAAAATGAGTTACAGAGAAGGGAGTGTTCTTCTTTATTTATTTCTAAACCCTATCAAGTAAGACAACCTGTACACAATTAAAATTGTACACAAAACCCGACGGACAAATTTGTTTTCAAACTTTCTTCCCTGGTTTTTTACAACTCGCGCCTGTCTCCCATGCACCATTCTTTCTCTCTCTCATTTATTCGTTTTAAACTCATTTACTTACCCGACCCACATTAAACACAAATATTTTAAGGGAAGTAATGGTGAACTGTATAACATTTTATCGCTCTGGGATGCTTAAAAATCATAGAATATATTTTTGGGGGGGGTGGGCCCGGTAGGTACCCCGGGTGACTACCAACATACCACACTTTTATTTCTTACAATAAATACAACTTTCTCACCCTAATTAAGACTTAAAATTTTAAAGGTAATAAGAGTGCACTATTTTGATTGTACTTTTTTATTGTTTTTTGATGCCTGGTTCATTACTAACTTAATATATGTTTGTTTTAAACTTGTTATCAAAGGTTTGTATGCATTTTTTAAGTGGAAAAAAAGGGTGTTCCCACTTTAAAGGCGGTTTCCGCTTTTACGGCAGTAGCCTGGAACCTAACCCCCCGTATAAGTGGGCCCCCTGAACACAAACTAAAAGTTTATAAAGTTTTTTTCGTTATTTTTTTGTAAACAATAGTGATATTTGAACAATGCACCTACATTGGTCTCACAGGCCACATAATTTCCTGGAACAGAAAAAATTGAAAAATGCAAGAAACCTTTTAATTTAAATAAATAAAAAAACCGGGGGGGCGGGGGTCCTGCTTTGCCGTACTTATGTCACTTTTTGCAAACTTTCGGGTCTATACTCGTAAGTACGGGGGAAAAAAAATTTTTTTTTGGGGTTAAAACACTTAAAAATATTTCCCAACATTTTCATAAGAAATTTTTTTTTTTTTTTTTTTCGAATATTGGGGGACATAGAAACAGTTTCAGAGAGGGGCCGAAAAAGTCAAAGGGTTAAGGGTTTTTTAAAAAGTTGCTGCAATGATTGGGGACAGCACTTTCGACATTTTTTTTGAAAAGGGGTGGAAGGTATTAAATCCCTGTCTTTTTTTAGTTGTTGAAATAAGGGAGATTTCTTTTGGGGTTAGTGGGAGCAGGAACAGTGTTTTCGGGTATTTTATGGGTGGGGAGGGGGTTTTGGGTATTTGGCTTGGGATTTTATTGGAAAGGGTTTTTTTCCTATGGGGGAGAAGAAATCTTTTGAGTCTTTTTTGCCCATTGGGTGGGAATGGGGTTCATCTGGCTTATTTCAATTGCACCGTTTCATGAATTTTTTTTTGTTTTTTAAATTTCTATGGGGAAATCCAGGTTTTTTATT